ACACGTACAAATTGAGCAAATGATTGCCAGCCAAATAGATAATCGGGCTGCGAGATCAACCCAACAAAGGAAGCCGAAGTTTCTGCCATGTGATGAATTTACGCAAGATACCGCTATTCGCAAGCCTTATGAATGAAAAAGAGAAGTTGATGGAGGACAAAATAATGCGAACACCTGTGAAAAAGTATGACATATTTCATACTTGCAGTACAGCAGCGCCATCTGCAACAGAAGGTCTGCCACCTAGTGAGCGTGAAGAGAAAGGTATGAGTCTCTCAACAGCAGTCACCTGCGTTGCATGCTTCGATCGAACTGTCTGTGAGAAGTTGAAATGTCAGACCTGTCCAGATTTCCAAAGAGGAATGATAGTTGGAGCGCGTTTAAGTGGAGCATTGGTTACGGAAACATCAAACCTTGTGGGGAGTGCAAGGAGTACGGTATCAGCCTTTATTACAGCTTACAAGAAAGAGGGTAAGACGACGTCTTCAAAGCACAACAGTGGCCGAAAGTCAAAGCTGGCTGATAGGATAGACGGGTCTTGAAGCGCATAGTAGCCCGAAAGCACAAGCAATCGTTATCTGAAATGCACAGTCATGCCCAGTACCCCGTTTCAACAAAAACTGTCAAAAGTTAACTTCATGCAGCGAACATTTATGGCAGAGTGGCAATTCGTAAACCCTTGGTGCAGCAACTAATGCTTTCAAACGACGCCAATGGTGCAGAGATCATAAAGGCTGGCTCACACAGCAGTGGCAAAGGTAATATGGTCAGATGAATCGTCACACCACACAGCATGGCAACAGGTAATGATAGATGAATCGTCATTCACCTATTTCCGACGACGGATGCGTTTATGTCTGGAGAATCCAAAGAAGGTTTCATCTGACTGCCTCTTGCCGACTGTGAGCATGGGGATGGCGCCATATGGTGGTGCGAATCTGGCGAAGGCTTGGGCCACTTGTTATTCTGCATGGGAGGATCACATCCGTCACTATCTAAGCATTCTAGGAGATCGTCCAGACTGTATTCCTTGGGGAGCGACCGCTTTTTCAAGACGAAAACGCCCCTATCCACACTGCTAGGTGTATTGAAGAATGGTTCGAAGAGCAGGACGATGCAATGCTCTCGCTGGCCCCCCTCAGTCTCCTATGATTATATTTGGGCATAGTGGGTCCAAACTTCGTTCCCGATTTCCACCTCATCGGACTTCGGAATTAGAGACCTCTGCATGAGGAATGGTTAATATTTCTTTAAATATTGTCACCATTATCCCACGTCGCATTTAATCTGTACTTCAGTCAAAGTGTGGTCCAACCCCCTATTAATAAAGATTTTCCATTATTTCACAGATGTTCGTATTATTTTGTCCTCCATCTGTACATACATGATGTCACGCAGTATGTAACTCACGGTCCCCAGGTGGAGAATTTTGCGAAGTGTATAGGATGTTTCAGCTGCTGCAGTATCGATAGATAGTTTCGCAATGACTGGTTGATGGAGGTTTGGTATGAAGTCGTTCTTTACAAAAGCTTCCATGAACAGAATTTCGTCGTCGTGAATGTTTGCAACAATGTAGCAGCAGAACCGTATAAGTGTCGAATGGGGCAGTGTAGTCTTATGCAATCAATCTCGTTTTTGCCTCACATATGATTATCTGCGTGTGAATATGTGGAGGCGACATGGCTACCGGGCAGACACTATTCGTGAATGTGGAATAATGACTTAGGGGAAGTTAACAGCCATACTTCTTCTAGTATATGCAGCTTAACGGTACACTTTTAAGTTGATAACGCGTTACAACCCCATCTTTTTCCGTGTCTCTCAGGCATACCAAAGGCCACATTCTGAATACACTGCAAGGTGTGCAAACGTTCTCTTGGCCAGGATGATCCCCTGTGATCTTTCGTCCATTGAGTGGAACACGAAAGGGTCTTGGTTGAATACGTGCACGAAACAAATATGAACAAGGGGCTCACATCAACAACACGTGATGCACGGTACGTGATTCTGACACTAATCGGTTCGATGCAACGAAGTGTTAAAAAATGTATTGCTCAAAATTGGTCCGTAACATCTTATTGATGTCCAATATATCTAAGTATTCTATCATTATACACCTTTGAAAATTAAATCATTTGTTAAGAAAATGATTGTCTACCTACGTAGAAAGTTTGGTCTACTGTAGTCATTCTTTTATGATGTGGAATTTTCTGTATTAAGTAGTACACATTCGTTTAAAAAAATTCTACAAAATATTCTGTTTGCTTCCTAAGCTACTTGTAGCAACTACTAAGTATGCATAAATGGATTGTGCGCCCATCTACACTCACAGCGGAGTATAGTGAGATGCTGAATGTTAAAAGCTTCAGGTAATTAGTCCGTATTTCTTTGAGTAAGGTGATCGGATAGTAACAGTGAAGCCAAAACGATATACTGCACTGCTCCAGAACTTCGAAGAAGGCGCATAAACCGAACCGACCTGTAGTTTCAACAGGATTTCCTACCCATCTGATGAATCGCCTACGCACCTAGGGATTCGATAGAATTATTGAGGAGAATAAGTTCACGGAACATTTAATTTCCTAATGTGGAGATATTATGTGGCCATATTGGTCACTTGACATTTCGGATTGCGACTTCTATGGAATTACTTAAAATCGAGAGTTTAGGATGACAAACCTGGCTCTTTACCAGAACTAAAGGCCGTCATTCAACGTGAGCTAGCCGCCATATTGAGATAAACGCTGCAGAACGTTATATGAAGTTTCGCTGATTGACTGCAGCCGTGTGTGCGCCGAGATGAACATTTGAAAAATGTAATTTTAAAAATTTAATAGCGGCTTAATTTTTATTATCCCTCCAGTAATACAATACATTAAACTGTAAAACATGAATAAAAACGAGTTCTTTCTATTTACTGTGTTACTTTCTTTTAAAAACTGTTAGGTTTTCCAGTCTCACCTTGCATGATAAATTTTGTTCGATAATGGCAAAGGAAACTCACTGTTTATTAGATATTCATATAATGAATATTGCCTATTTAATCCTTTCTTATCGTAAATCACTTCACTTTTTAAAACAGTTTGCATTTCATAACGTAAACCAACCAAACATATTTCCTATGTTAATGACGTAACTGTTTTAACCTATTAACAGAAATTAGGCCTCAGTTTAAGAAAACTTTGTTTCAGAAAAGTAGCTTTGTTTCAGAAATTTCTTTATCTTCTTCTTCCAGCAGAATTTTCTTCTTGTCTCTGAAAGCAGAAAAGCATGTTTTTCTTCTCAGTCATCTTTAACTTGGCGATCATTGTTCCCTTGAGAATTCGTGTCGATTGTCTATATCTAATTTTTGACCTAGATTTAAGATTTCATTTTCTTTCTGAAGCAAAATAGTATCTTTATTTGTAACTTCACCTTCAGTAGCCCACAACTAACGTAATTTTTCTTGAAACCACTTTGCTTATCTTCTAGCTGCATCATTTCATGCATTTTTTACGTATTCGACTAATCAGTCAAAGAACTTTAAGTTTATCAGCATTTCCTACTGAATTTATAACGTTACAAGGGTAGTCATTATGCAGCGTTGATTACAGAATTTTAAAAAAATTTCTAATTCCTAGATCCAAAGATTAGCTATCTGTCTTGCAATTAGGGTTGTCAACTTTGTTTTTTGGAAAAAAAACAGTCATTTAATCAGCTTTTCTGTGCTTGTCTTTTTTTTTTTTTTTTTTGAGTTTAGAAAAAATGTCAGATGTTCTTTATTTCGAAATTAACACTCTCTTGTGGTTGAATGATGATATTTAGAGTTGTTTGAACAGTTGATACAAGAGTGTGCCGAATTTTTGTAGTTGGTTGCGATCTCCGTTCGTTGTTTTTCCGGCATAGTAACCCGACGAAAAGCTGCCGTATTTTTTGTCAGTTTTGTTTTCTTAGTCACCTCTCATGATCATCGAATGTCAGAAAGCGCTTTGATTGGATAAAGAGGAAATTGGCATACTTCAGGACGTTATGCATAACATTCGAAGTTTTGCATAACGTTCATGTGTGAGGTATACATTAGAGTTTTTAGCTTTGCTTAGTAGTCACTTTGTCTTCCCCCTCAGATTCCATGTCGACTGTGCGTTGTTTGCCTTTGTTTCATTCGTTCTAAAGCATTTAATGTGATTGGCTATATATAACACTCTTTCAATTTGGTACATTTTTGTTGTTAAATCGTTGTACACTTACGTTTTCAGTTCATTACATCTTATTTCATCACCTTTTATCCCAATAAATAAATTATGAAACCAACAAGAAAGGAGAAAAAGCAACTATTTTCTTATAACAAAAATTGGAGAAATCTATGAATGGGTTGTGCCCAACTACTAATCTAAAAGAAGCCACAAGTAATTTTAAAATTTAATTTATGGGTGTTTTAGCAATAAGACAGCATAAAACATCATATTGTCATGAAAACATAAACCGTACATTATGGTTTGGTTTGGCTGCACTGGGGCTAATTGCCGAAGAAGAGGGATGTCTTCGTGAAGACATTCTAAGGGAAACTGACTCGTATAACCACGAAAACGTCCATGCAGCCAGCCCGTTCGCCGGGAATCGAACCCCGGATCGAACTACTAAGGTTTAGCGACTTTAAGACTAAGCCGCTGGTATTCGTACTAATAAATTACTGAATTACGAACTTCTACAATAAGAATATTCGTTTTGTTTGAGAATGCATGTATATGTGAATAGCGTTTTTTTGCAGTTGAAAATTGATAAGAAAAGAGCCCGATTAACCGACGATCATTTACAAACCGCGATAAAGATAGTTTTCAGTGGTTTCTCTCCAAGCCTGCAAACGTTATCAGAATCTAATACCATCAAGTGTAATTATTTCGTAAGAACTTCAAAAATTACTTATTTTGATGAAATTATTATCACTTTAATGAAAATTCTATGTGTTAACAAACTGTCAATTTTAAGTCTGTTTAATAATTCATTTCTAATTTATACAGGAAATTTGTTGAAGTTATTGAAGATCTGAAGCAAAAAGAAAAGTTGGGTTTGAATATGGATGACCTTTTTGGTAATGTAACATTAATTAATTTTTTTTTCAATGTTATAAGCATTTGATACAAAACATCAAGTAGCAAAAGGCATACGATTTTTGAAAGTGTTGATTATAAAGGCATTAATATTTTAAAAATGGTTTTGTATATGTTTCCAATCCCTGCAATGAAAGAACTAAGTATTCACTTGAATTTATAAAAAAATAAATTATTTGTATCTCTTAATTCAAAAGAAAGTTTCTCAGAATTTGCTGAGAAAATAAAAAGCGATGCATATTTTCTCAAGTCTACCAAAAATTAGAGCAAACGTAATTTAAAAATTTGCTTTTAAAAATTTCAAATATTTTTTAAAGTTTTCAACATTTCTAAATTATCATTTCTTAATTAAATTCTAATAATTCATCTTGTGTGTTTGGAACCATATATCCAACTCATTAAAGAAACACTTTTTTGATGGTCTTCAGAGTTTAGTTCACATGGATATTAATTCTAAAATTGTATTCAAGCAACATATAATAATAATAGAAAAGGAATTAATATAGTTTATTACTGCGCCTCTATAGAGCTGGCAAACCTAAGCTGAATCAAGTCTCTATTATTGTCCAGGTTGCCGTTAATCCGCCACGTGCTAAACGGGAGTTTTAAACAAAAAGTTAAGTTTGTTTATCGTAGAACAATGAAAAAATTACTACCACAATTCATCAAGGAAAAAAATTGTGTATGCGTGGGATAGCAATAATGATAGCAGACGGTGTCAAAGTATTTGGCAGCTTTTTCTTATTCACGACAATACACTTACAAGAAAAAAAAAAAAAAAAAAAAAAAAAAACACTTGAAAGGTTTTTATATTTTAAATTACGTCCAAAGGGGCGTTTTTTTTTAACATTTTGTGCGTTACCTTTATTTATTAAATATCTTTGCACTTGAACCATAAAATTCATTTCAATAGCAATGTCGCCAAATAATTTTAAAATTAGCATATCTTTAGAATTTCCGATACACAGTTCTGCGATCTGGAGATGAAAAGATTCCCGTCCCCCTTATAGAGTGTTGGCATTCCTCGCTTTTAAATCGTTCAGTTTGTTAATCAAAAATTCGTTAAAATTTTACAAAATATGAAATCGATAATAAAACAAATTCCAAATTTGGTCTTCCACATGCCCATATTCGTAGGAGGATTACGTCATTCAAAATTCGATGGCTCTATTACCGTTGTTTTATCACATTGCGGGAAATAGACATACATTTACGCAGATTTTTCATAATTTAATTTCTTCAAATATAATGCAAGACTCTAACATTTGGTGGCAACAGTTTGAAAAGTGAAACGGACAATTTAGTGATTCAACGCAAAATCGCAAAACGAAAACAATAGTTCTTTAGGGACAAAGCCCCTTTGGACTAAAAAAAAGACAGTTTTATATCTCCCGTTCTACTGGGCCAATTGACAAAATTCAAACTGCGTTTTTCATGTCTCGGAAAAAAAAAAAAAAAAAAAAAAAAAAAAAAAAAAAAAAAAAAAAAAAAAAAAAAAAAAAAAAAAAAAAAAAAAAAGAACTATATAAATACTGTTGAATTATCTGGTAAAAGTAAATTGTTCAGCCTGAAAAATGAATGAATGGACAGTCATTAATCTTATGTATCATGCTGACGCCTAGCGAAATTACAAGAATAAAATGTGAGTGTCCCTTTTTTGCTTTCTAGCGTGCTTTCTTCTCCCTCCCAATTTGAACAGTGTTATTGTAATTTACGTAATTAAATAAACATATCGTGCAGATTAAGTGCTCGAAAATGCAAATCTATCGTTAATAATATTTTTATGTTCATTATGAGTTATTCCATTTATACTTTTTTTTTTTTTTTTTGTCACCGTGATTTTGATTGGTGATTTCGGTGTTTATTTTAGTGACCGTGATCGTTAACAGTGATTTTGAGATAACCGCGGAAGTCGTCCCCAATATTCTGCAGAATTAATAAAAAGCTTCATATAGTTATTTACTTTTTTAAAAATTTACTAATTTTTAAATTACATGTTTTAGTCGAGCCGACGAAAATAGCGTCCGTTATTTAGGATTTCGATTTGCCTATTATTCCATTTTTTGAATTTGTATATGTTGGCACTTTTGAAATATTAAATAAAATTCAATCGTGAAAAAATATGTTTGAAAAAGTTTTGAAATATTTAAAATTCAATTTTTTATTAGTCGGGATGATTATTTTTCACCTAAAGCAATGGCATCCAGCAGCCAATCCGGTTCTGATTTACGTTTTTTACCTCTGTCTTACGTTAATCTCAGTGATTTGGTGGATATTGACCAATAGCAGAAATACTATAAAATTTCCTTTTTTGTATTTTTATTGAAATTATCCTAACCATTACCACAAAACTGCTTTCTTTCCTTATAAAGTATTTTGGATCTAAATTATATTGCAAAAGCAATTTTTTTCCCAACTTTCTATTTTGATTTAATCTTGTTTCTAAGTTACGCTTTTACCTTTCATTTTGAAGCTATTTTAATATAAAGTTAATCACGTAAGATTCAGAAAATTTACTCATTATACCCACTGACCTGACAACTTTGAAATGAAAGTGAACGATTGTAATAATCTAAAAGGCAAAAATGAACTGCTGTTGCATCAATTAAGCATCGATTTGTTATACACTGAAAAACAGGACAGGAAAAAAAATTAATGTAAAAGTGCAGGAGCATAATGTATCATTTAAATGCAAGGTGTCACAAATGAGATTAATTACGGTACGCTGAGACAAGGATAAAATTTATATCCCAAAGCGGTCCTGGGCCTGTTTTCGTAATTTTTCCCACGTGCAATGTGTATTCGAGCCAATTTCCCTTAGAAAGTCCTCCACGAAGGCATAATTTCCCTTAGGAAGATAGCCCTGAGTGTTTTGCCATTATCAAATAAATCAGCTAACCTTATTTTCATCACGACAGGACGTTATGTGGTGTGCGTTTACGGAGTATTTTGTTTCTGAAATAAATTATATATTCAAATTCCGATGCAATACCGCTACTACGATACGCTTTGTGGTCTTTTTCAATATGTAAATTAAATTTACAACTCAATTTGTCAGTATTACGATTTTATAGTTACGCTTTACAGAAAATGTAATATGTTAAATTAAAGATAATGCGGATAATGTTTCTTTAAATTCACGTGTTTGAATTCAATTTTTGCGACTCATTTTGAGTAGTGACCCATAGTTTAAGAAACGTTGGGTCTCTTGGTTAAACTGGTACCTCTTTCGATAACAATATAATAATAATAATAATGTGTATGTATACTTCTTCTGTATAAAATAACAGATTTAAATAACATTTATACGCTAATATAATTTACCTTTGAAGTTCTTGACCCCTCTCCTGGCATTATCACAATCTGGTTTGATACCTTGAGTTGCGGTACCTTTGATGGGTCTTCCTGTCCTAGGGTGGACGCACCAACAATACTGAGGAGACCTATGGCACTGTGCTCTAACATATAACCCTTCCGGTGTGCATTCTGGTATATAAATACCGGCAGCGGGATCTTGTCTGTGGCTTTCTTGTGCTATGTGACGGGCACTATTGCAATCCTGTGGTTCTGAAAAGAAAAGAACATAAAAGTTAGAAACATTTCTAAATATATCGCGACTAATATATTTTGCTTTTATTGAATTAACCATTTTCTTTCTTGCAGAAAGCCTTTCTGCATTTCCTCAATTGATTATGCGCGAAATATCGCGCTTGGTCCATGACATTCAAGCGATATGCCTTAAGACATGATTTTCAATCATCACATGTTGATATTTTACATTAGGCAATATTCTGCAGGTTTTTCGTTGCATACATATCAGGGTCAAATGTATCTATTTCCTTTAATAGTTTAATCATTTAGGGCCTTAAGTTCTGGACTATTACATAACTATCGGGAACGAAGCGAAATACCTCACAGTTCTTAACCTACAAACTGGTGCGTACTTTTATGTCAGAAATAGATTTTTACCTAAAAATAGTTGCATAAAGTACTTGTATAACTAAGTATATGGAAGTAGCGGATTGAATAAATTATGCCATAATTTTAGGAAGTGAAATAATATCTAAAGGGAGTGTAAAAAATACCGTAAACATAATTTCTTAAATTCTTCGGCGATGTTTAATAAAGGAAGCAAACCCATTCTTGCTGAAATTATTTCAAACGAGCATGATAACGAGACGAGATGATGTTGGTAAATATATGTTTAACGGGTGCTATTACAAAATATGTTAAATTAACAGATATAAGAGTTTCCGTGTCAGTTTGAATATTAGTAATTGTAAAAATTTTATATTTGTTTCATACTCTTTTTGGAGGAAAAAAAAAAAAAAAAAAAAAAACCTCAATTCCTATTGACAAATAAAAGTTTCTTTCTTTTCGATCAAACATTTTATTCTAAAGTCAGTGTGATGCGTATATTAAAATGCCCTATTCTATATGGCAAATTGTTTAATTTGTTCTTACCTTGCATAAAATATTTACTGTTTTTCATGGATCAGGTTCGCGTAACAATCAAATAATATTATACAGAGATGATTATATTTAAAATTAAGTATTATACTGCCTGTATTATTTCGTCTCGTATTTCGGCTCTGAGTTATCACGACAGAAATCAGATTTAGTTTATATAACGAATAAATTACGTTAATACATGTATTCTCTTGCTTCGCGTGATGATGTTGACCTAGCGCATTAGTGCGACAAAGCAATACTTGTAAATCCATAGGAGAGGTTCTGATGCTCCGTTCACTTTTCCCTGTACCTGCCTCGCCTACAGAGTTCCAGGTTACATTTTTCACCATGTTACAACTGGCAAAATTGATCAATTATTTTTATTGCTTCGTTTTTTAGGTATGACTGTGACCATTTTATGTTCATACATCGAGTGCAGCAGCTATGTCTTTAGCAACGGAATCGGAGTCTTCGTTTCTGTCATTCTCTGCATGTACTTTCACACAACAAAACGAAATTTCAATTTGGCTATTTTCTTGGAGAAGTTGAAACATTTCTTATACTATTGGAGAAAGATGTTTGAAGTTCGTTACTGCATGCAGCAAAGAGAGAGCATTTAAATCGTGAGGTGGCGAGATTTATTATTAATTGCAATTTCCCTTGCCTTTTTAATAGCTGAAACTTATGCATGGAAAGCTATATTTTCTGAATACGGATATTTCCAGGCTATTTTCTAAATTTCAGCTGTATGGAAATTAATACAAGCTGTTCTCAACTTTTCAACTATTTTTGATCCACCTGCATATGCTGTTTAGTACATATTGATATCCACATGGCCTTTAAAACAGAATTTAGTGCTAAGAGAATTTGAAGGATGCCGGAAATACGGAGAGACTGGGAATTCAAAGTTATTCGGATAGTATAAGGAAGTTTGATTCATTAGCTGCAACGTTTTGGATTTAAGCTATTTCTAGCTGAAATAGAAGATATAGGTATTCTGGAGAGCGCGTGCAATGCAGCATTAGAAGTGGTGAGGAAAGAATTGGTTACATTGAGGAGAAAACATCGTTGAACGACTTGGAATGTTGCTTCTTTCTTTCGGTCACAGAAGAAAGTCTAGATAATAGCTGTTTAATAAATTATTTTCTCTGTCACGGTGTTGAATATCCAATCCTAGTACCTCACTTTTCTTACGGAAATGGCTATTTTTGTAGTTAAGTTTTGATATCTTGGAGATGTTCTATCCAGTTGAGTTTTCCGTTTAGAGTAATTCCAAAAAATTCTAATTTATGATCTTGGTTTGCTTTCCATTAAGTTTGAAGGCAGGTTTTCTTTTTATAGTTTTACTGAGCTTGTGATATATGACGGCTTTAGGCTTTTCCTCTGACATTAGTTTAGTTTTAGTGCATTACATAATTAATTCAGATAGTTTTTTTATGGTATATAGTTGATTTGTGCTTTACATAGTTGGTTGTGAAAGAATGTGTGGTTGTTTAGTCCAAAGGGGCTTTGTTCCTGAAGGACTATTGTTTTCGTTTCGCGATTTTGCGTTGGTTCACTATAAATGTCCGTTTCACTTTTCATACTGTTGCCACCAAATGTTAGAGTCCTGCATTATATTTAAAGAAATTAAATAATGAAAAATCTGCATAAATGTATGCCTATTTCTCGCATTGTGATAAAACAACGATACATAGATCCATCGAATTTTGAATGACGTAATCCTCCTGCGAATATGGGCATGTGGAAGACCAAATTTGAAATTTGGAATTTGTTTTATTATATATTCCATATTTTGTAAAGTAGGTATGAGTTTTGATTAACAAACTCAAGGATTTCAAAGCGAACAATGGCAACGTTGTACAGAAAAAACATTTTTATCTCTAGCTCGCGAGACTCTGTATCGGAAATTCTAAAGATATGCTTAATTTAAAACTATTTCACGATCTTGGTCTTGAAAGGAATTTTATAGTTTAAATGCGAAAAACGGGATATTTAATAAATAAAGGTAACTGACAAAATGTTTGAAAACGCCCTTATGGACATAATTTAAAATCTGAAACCTTTCAGATTTTCTTTTTTGTAGTTGTTTCCTGGTTCTACCAAAAGTAATGAATGCAGGATCGTTTATGGATGTTAAGGCTCTTGTATGAATTGGCCATTAATGTGATATGATATTCAGTCAAAAGTCTTTAATTCGGACGTCCATAATCCGGACCTCAAAGCTACAAACGTTCTGCGCATGCGTCAACGCATAATGCTTTAATGCATGCGCATAATACGTTTACGCATGCGCGTTTAATGTATAATGGACGGTATAAGCTAAGCTAAAATTATCTAATTATCTATTTCAGTTAAAGTTGCAGATTGCGTTGTTCCTTAATCTTCTAATTGGATCCGGCTTATTATTTTTTACAGACTGTTAGAGAAATTTTATAAAAGTAAGCTTGAACTTTCGATTATGTCAAAAAGAATTTCCGATTCTGGAACTACCAAAGGATCTACAAAGCGAAAGCATGTTCCGATGTTCATCAATCGAAAAGTGGAATGGCTGCAAAAAATGGATAAAGGCATATCCTTTGATTCTCTAATCATTCCGAAATATGTTTATCAATTTCACGCTGCTCTTCGGGGGGGGATGAACTGGAAGTTGATCTGTCAGCACTATCCTTATCTTCAGGGCAGATGTTTTTATTTTATTTGGCTTATGATTCCTTACTAAATGTAGTATTTCATCTCGATGTACTACGTCGTTGATATGATTTAAATCAAATTCCTCGTCATTATAAATATCACGAATACACATCAAATAGTTTTCTGGTTGCAATTTTCTAATTTTGACTATGCGTAATGTATGCTTTACGTATGTGCGCGTAGAAAGAAATGTTTAATAAAGTAAACAAATAAATATAAAGCTTTTTTTTTTTTTGTTGTTGTAAATTTTGATACCCTTTAGACCATAATTGCTCTTTATTTCATAAATTACGGTTTCATATTTTTAATTTTATAATTTCTGCATGCCATCTTACAGATTTATACTCATGATCTATAACCGGAAGAACCGATAATCCGGAATCCCCGAAGTCCCGTCGAGTCCGGATTAACGGATTAAAGACTTTTGACTGTATTTAACTGTACGAGGCGATTCTTTATAAAAACATTTGTTTACTCCAAATATGAGGAAGAGGAAACATTTATAGATCAGTTTATTATTAAGGTGAATAGCACTGGAAACTTTTGTTGTTATTTATATTAACTGTATAAACATTAACAAATCTTTTAGCCAAACATTATTAAAAAGTATATATCGTTTTCAAACAAACTCTTATTTTACATTGGTAATCAAAGTTCTATTATGATGAGGAAGATAAGAATAAATTAAAGATCTTATGTCTCATCATCACGGTTCTGATCCCCCTCTTTCTATTAATTGTAATGTCAGCAAAATAAATATAGTCTCCCAAGTGTTAAAAAATAAAATCGATTTTCTCATACTTTATTCTGTTTGCGCTTAATAAATATTTTAGAAGCAGTAAAGTTTCAGAGAAAATAAATTTTGAAAGAAATGAAAGCGAATGAGAGAAAATCATTTTCTTTTACTGAAAATTACATTTAAACGAACAAACTCACCTCTTTAAAAAAATACCCTACAGATTTTTCTATTTGCTCTATTTTTTTTAATGGAACAGCAAATTTTCAGAATGTCTTTCTCTTTAGTAAAAAAATCATTTCTTTAACGAAAATCTTGACATCTTTGTTTTTCGTATCCATTTCTGTAATGTTCGAATTAAATATTTGGTCCTGTCGGCTTTTTTTCGGAGGGGGGGCCTGAAATGTACTTTTCTTATTATACGCAGGAAGGAGTCTCTTTCAGCCTTTAATACCTCACAGATTAATATTGCTCTTAGTCAGAAATAATGTTTCTGCCGCAAAAAGACATACCAAGAATTTAAATACATTTAGCATCTGAAAGATTAAAATATGCTAGAGTTTCCGATGTTGCAAATTTAATTCTAAAACTAGTTTCTTATCCTTCTCTTAATCAACTTACATGTCATACCCACGACGTCAAGACGAATAGTATATTTATAGGTATTACAGCAGCATACCTGTTTGGAACAACGGCATACCTTCTTCTTTAGAATCCTCATCCGCTCCGTCCTCCTTAAGAGAAGAGTGACCGTCATGACGTAACCGAGGCATCGTTTGGCTTCTATCCCATGGCTCCGCTTTCACTGGCAAGGTTGTGGTTGGATCGTCTTCCGCTACGTTAAAAGCAACAATATAAAAGTGCACACTGCTTTTAAAAAAAAAGACATGTTACATGCATAAGATTAAAAAAATCCTATAAATTAATTAACTAAATTATTTTAATTAAATGAGCAGGAAATGAGATGAAATATAATACTGATGATCAAAAAGATGCAAACAGTAAAACTACTCTGGCTGAGATGAAAATGAGAAAAAGCAAATGAAGACTGCGCTCGTATTAGTTATGTAGCAGCCGTGAATATAAAATTTAAGAAAACGCACCAAATTATGTGAATATTATTATCAACTAAATTATGTTATTTAAGAAAATCTTTTATTGTCCATCTGTATATATGCATTAAAGTTATTTGAAATGAAATAATATGTAATTATTCTGCGATATAATATATACACTGTATTCTTTGATATTATACACAAATTTATCTCAAATGCTCATATTTAGAATTCTGGAACTGTTTTCCTCGTTTTATAATTTTTTCTTATACGAATCATTTTCGGTAGCAAAGCAAAACGTTTTATGAGATTCAACGAAGGGATCATCGCTTTTCTTCTATGCATTTAGAAACGAATGAATAGCCAATAACACAAACTTCTTAAAATAAAATTAGTTTTATGTCAGATTAGTATTTTCTTACATTTTAGCATTATTCTTAAATCTTAAATATTTTCTAAATAAAAAACCGACTTTAGTTAAAGGCAAAACAAATTTATAATTAATTGAAATAAGATAAATTTAGAACCGCTTGATTATAAAACTACCAAGATGCAAATATTACATTTTCTATGCTATATATAAAGCATTGATCTGACCCAAATAGTGCTATCTGTGAAAGAAATGAATCACTGATGGAATCTTTTCTTCAAATTTTCAAAGACATTTGTGATTTTAATATTCTTTCTTTTAGTGATGATATTCTTGTTCAGAAGGCGTTCATTTATGAAAAGTACTATATTAAATTCTTGTACGTGAAAGACGAATGCAGTATCAGGCTGCAATGCAGAAAATCAAATTAGCAACATCGAACTAGTTCACAGTTGTAACTTCGACATTAAATGTTCGAACGCGCTTTATGACGTACATATTTTCCGCCTTTGCGAGCCGTTCCTTTGATGGATACCAACGTCAGCAAGTCACGTGATGCATTAATTTCTTGCATAAATTAAAGTTGGAAAAGTGAACTTTAAATTAAGTCACGCACATGGTGGTGCTGCACCAGAGAGAGGGTTAATACGGAAAGACACCTGCCCTCATGGGGTGCCCAGCAGATGGGGAGATTTATCTCAGAGTCGGCATGTGTTCTTACCTCCTTTGGAGGCGTCTCTTCAATATAACTGTCTTTTGGAAGTCTCTTGCATCGGAGATTAATCACAGGAACGGTTCAAAAATATGATGCTTGACTTGAAATGAATAAAAGATTAACATATTTATTCTGCGCTTTAATGTATTTGCAAAAAGATTTATCGTAAATGCCCATTTCTCATCGTTCTAAGATGCTGCACGCACTGGCTTTGCACTCAAGCGTCATCTATTTTCTGAAAAAAGTAAATTCATTATTTATCGAGGAAAATTCTTTTACGTTACCTGTAGGAAATTATGGGAAACTCGGTGATTTCAAAAACCCATTTAGTTTCTTATTTGCATTACTAACAACAAATAAAGGAACTGGGAGTGGTGTATGAGTTTTCATTCGCGTACGGCTCATTGTATTGGAAAATTATTATTAGTTGGGTATAACGCGAATTTTATTATTCCAGCAGACTTTATTTGATTAATTTCGAAAGCAAGCATCGAGTTTCTTACAATGGTTTTGTTAGTGTTTTTCAGAAGGGCTTTTCTTTTCTTTTCTTTTTTTTCTTTTTCTTTTTCTTTTTTTTTTTTTTTTTCAATAAAGAGAAAAGGAAATCTTTGCTGCAGTTACGCATATGATTATTCCTAATACATTAACGAACTTAAGGGTGCAAAAAATATTTGGGGAATGTAAAATTTCGGAAAAAAAAAATCATTTTCGCTTTTGTTTTGCAATAAATAACTTTTACAATAACAAACCTAATAATTTTAACGTCTTTCGTTTTTCTTTTAAACTAGAAAATATTCCTTCCTTACATATAAAAACTGCAAAAAGTCCATAATATCTAAAAATTCCTTTAATTGCTTTTCCGCTCTCATTTATAAGTAAAAGAAATATGAATTACGAGAAATATATTTATTTGAAAATTATGATTAAAAGTCGAATTGTTATTTATTTTTTACTGTAGTTTATTGGATTAATTTAAAATGAGAAGTTACTATATTTTAAGCAACGTGCTATCCAATTATATGTGTGACGTCGAAGAAACGATATCAGTTATACGCCGGTATAAAAAAAAATCTTTGAAAAAGTAGAATTTCTTTGCTTTTCGCAAAGGGAGGGATGAGTTCATGAAAATAAAATTAAGAAATTTAGAGAAGCATCAAACTTTTTTTTTTTAAATAAAGAGAGGTTAGTTATTTATTTTTCCTTTCCATGACTTAAAATATTTTAGTTTCCTATTATTCAAAAAATAGTAATTCTACTTTCTGCAATCTTTAAACCTTTCTTTCTGTAATTTGCTTTCTGTGATCATAGAAAAGTTGCAAACTTATAAAGTAAGTGAATTACTTTTTCTTTTATTTTTCTTTACAAGTGTCATATTGTTTTTGGTGCCTATTATTAAAAAATGTAGTAATTATTACATTTGTTCTAAGACTTACACGTCATTAGGACGAGTATTTTATTGCAATCTAAGACATTTAAACATAAAAAGCAATTGTTTTTGCTTTTATTATTACATAATCGAGGAACGATAAACAATAGTTTCTCTCTAACTTATTTTTAATCAGTAATTTAGAAAATAAAATTCGTTTTTTATATTATTTGTTTTTTATGCTTCTTCAATAACTGCAGATCATATTAAAAAGACACATTACGTCTTTATACAGAACGTTTCAAAAAGATTGCAACACTAAATATATTATGAACAGTCATCTACATATTTCAAATAATAGATCAGAAGATGTGAAAAATCTTTTCAATAAAAATTGATTTGCTTCTGAGGTATCAAAAAATTTCAAAGGTCACTTTTTATTTATTTTTTTTTTCATTCGACAGCAAATGGTTTGGTTTATTTGATTACGGCAAAACACAGGAGGGATATCTGCCTAAAGAAAGGGATGCCTTCGTGGAGGTCTTTCTAAGGGAAACATGCTAGTATATACGTTACATATGGGGAAATCACGAAAACGCCAATGCAGCCATTCCATTAGCCGGATTCGAACTCGGATCGAACTACCAGTGTTCAGCGATATACCGCTCGGCCGCTGGTGGGCCGACAGAAAAAAGATTTGCATTATAGCATAGTGTATTAGGCAATTAATTGTGATAAAGCATTTATCTTCTAATAGGGAATAATGCTTTTGTGAAACGTTTTCCTGAGGAAAACTAGCTCGTATTTACGAGTACATTATACGCGAAAACAACGGATAACATTTTAGACAATCACTGGGAAACAGTTCGGATCAAATTACCTATGTTTTGTAGTTTTAATTTCTCAACCACTGGCTGATCCTTGGCAGCAGAAGGAAGTAATTTGTTTTAAAAAAATTCATTTGGAAAAAAAAAAAAAAGATATTTAATTGAGAAACGAAAAATTCAGTTGGCTTTGAGAGATAATAAATTACAAAACTGTAAATGCGAGAAATTCGCACTTACTTCTGCAATAATAAACCGGGTAAAGTACATATATATTTATGATTTTCCAGAAATTACACAGCTCGTCACAATTAGAGAAAATACTGCTGATCTCTCCGATTTTGACACAAATCTGTATTTAATATGTATATGGTCATCTCTGACACGAATGCAAACCTCACATATTGAATTTAACAGAATGTATCAAACAAGTCACTTTTTCCTTTAACACCATCTAGAGTAGCAGCTGAGTAAGATCAAGCTGAAACAACATCAAGTCTATTTTAATTAGAGTAGCAGCTGAGCTGAACCTCATGCAGCTCATGTGCTACTCAGTGGAAATCAGCAACTTTCCAGACTACGTCACCATGGAGGTGGAACTCTTCTGAAATTTCACTTTTCCCGATCTTGGAAGATCAATGTAGGCATATGGAGTTCTGGAATTCGGCGGCTTTATATTGGTTTTAAAAACTTACTCGCTGAACTTGAATACTATTCATGCTTAGTGAAATCTGGTGAGTGAGCTGGCCAATCTATTCAAGTGACGTTTCCTGTTTCCAAGTATTCTGACACCACAGATGATCGATGTGAACGATTATTATTATGTACTAGTAAAACAGTTTGCGCTAACAGCACTCTTACAACCATGCATGTGGTTCTGAGACCTCGTACAAAGTTTTGTGACATATTTGTGATCGGATACAGAATCTCCATCTAAGCTATGCTGCTCAATGCAGCCATTAAGCAAACCATGAAAGCGCTTCTGTGGAAATGGGTTACTTTCTTAACAACAGAAGTTGTGCAATTTTCCAAATCGAAACGCGTTTAGAATTATAGTTTAGGTTATGCCTTAACTCGCAATTCCATTCCTCTCGACTCCATTGAATGTAATAATGACACCATCTTTAAGGAGTTACTTTAGAAGATGAGGTTGAGTGGAATAAAAACCACTTTTCTTTTCTTTTTGCTATCAACAGAACAGTTAGCCCACTGATTTAGATGCTCTTGGATCAGCAGCCGATGGAATAAAAAAAATATAGCTTAGTGCTATGTCCTTCGAGAATTGACTGTGCAAAGTAAGGAATACAAGAAGGACTGGAACGTGATAAAGTGCATGGTGGAGATACTGTTACTGAGACTAAGTGAAAAATGCTGATGACCGACTTATCTCGGAAACTGTAAAATTGGTGTTACTTCCAAGGAGGTACTATGACATTGTAACAAAAACCACTGACTTTTCTCCAAGCATTCGTGCAATCTGTACAGCAGTGAAACCACTGGTTCGAATTCTTGTAGCAGTCTAAGGTCTAAAATCAACTTCTTTGAAATTGTTTCACGGATTATTCGAGCCTAAAATAATAGGAAGCGGTTTTCGAATTCAGATATTGCTCTTGACCATCTTTAACAAGGCTTTTTAACTGATTCACTACATAGAAATCGGTTTGATGTTCATAATACAATGCTTAAAGAAACAAGCTGATATTCAGCAATCTCCTTCTTATCCCCCCCGTTCCATCTTGCCAATTAACTTTAACTTTTGCTTTTCAATTAAAAGATATTTTAAAGTTATAATTAATGAATATTATAATTCTTAGAATGTACATTAACTTCAAACAACACTACACACCCGAATTTCAACGTGCGCCATTGTACAAAACATTACCAGTCAGCTAATTTGTCTATTTCACATGCTAAGGGCGTGGCTTTCACAAGGGTGGATTTTAATCCCGGAGAAGGCATGGATGTTATAAATGTATAGTGTTTGTGGCATGAGGACAGTCTAAATATGTGGCAAGCCAAAAGTCCTATTGTATGGTTTAGCGGCAGAGAAAAATGAGTGGGAGACTCTCGAACCGTCCCCCCGGGGTTCTCTTTCTTTTTAAACCGAGGCGGAACTGAGCAGAAGGCGTGCTGTCACGTGTATGGTGCTCAAGTTTCATGCCAAACGACGGGCGCGAAAATGCTGTCTTTACCAGGATATTATTCGTGGATTTGTTCTGAATATGCCAGACAAATGAGATACAGCAACAACAGAAAGTGAAATATAAAGTAAAGAATTCTTACTCGTGGAAGGAATATATTTCACAGGGTTATTTAAAACTGAATGTCTCTTTTAAAAAGTTAGAAAATACTGCAAAAATTTTATACTAAATATCTGATGTTAAAGTATCTCTAGTGAGGTAAATCTTTTCTGACGTTGAGATCCTGCGTGTATTCGCTATGAAAAGAGAAATAACTTTCAGCTAAATTTCCATACGCATCCATTGGAAGACTGAAGTTCTACCATCTTGTAATACCAATCTGCATGCGAAAATGACGAAGACTGCTTCATTAAGTATTACTGATGTAATTATAAAAATGTGAATGACAATGAAATTTGTTAAAAGTTACAACTGATGAATCTTAATAGTAAATATAAAATGGGAGAATACTTTTAACTACTTCAAAGCCTTCTTTCTTTATTACCGTCTAATAGAAATTTTATAGAAAGTAATCTAGATTACCATTTAATAGAAAATAAGATTATGCATTATTAATAATTACACAACTATTATGCACATTATTAAAATATTGTGAATAATAGTTGTGTAATTATTAATAATGCATAATCTTATTTTAATAAATAGAACTAATATATAAAACTCAATAAACAGGAATATGAATCGGATGATGAAGCGATAAACTGCAGAATCACAAGCCAAAAGAATTATGCATATCGTGATATTGCATCAACACTAATGTTGAAAAATGGGAAATATAATCAATACACCATTGTAAAACTATTACGTCATAAAAATCCATGACTTATTTTGAAGCTAGCGAAATAATTCACTTTTTCCGGTCGATAAAGTTTGGGTGATAAAGTTCGTCTAATAGATGCATATAAAATCAAATTTTTTTCTCGTTTTCATAAGATTCAGGTGTAAGGATTTAAAAATATTGTTTTATGAGTTAAGTTAGCCTAGATAGTTCTTCAGATAGGCATCCCTCGCTTTAAGCAGTCTTTGGATTATCTGAATCAACATTAAATGAAGAAACAGACACTGAAGTGCCGAAGAAGCTAGTACTGATGAACCTACGCAGAAAACCTAATAATGCTATCTATATACGTCTGCCGATGCTTCAATCTATGGGGATGTAAAGTAATAGTAATAATAGAGAGGAATCTTATGGAATTGTTTCTGCACTGATAATGGCATGGCTTTACGATTTAAGCCACTTTTAACGAGGTCTAATACTTGAAGCTCATAGAAGAGTAGCAGCATTTTGGAGATAAAGTTTGAATTTTCATGTATGACCATTTCAAGAGAGTTCTGTGACTTTCTTTTCTCCGCAGATGAGGCAGCTGATCTACATAGAAAATGTGGCATCAACTGGTTATGACACTTTGAAGGTTCTAATTTACTTTGCTTGTCAATAACGTGTTCCCAGTAAGAATTCTAGCAAAACTTTGAATTTACACTAATGACAACAGTGTGTTCGTAAAACGACTTTCAGTGAAGTTCATCTGGCAAGAATTACGTAACGTTAAAAGTGCGTAGTCACCATAAGTAAGGCAGGAATTCATGTTGAAAACTCCAAGAATTTCGCTTGAGGAGTGTGGCATGATCTTTTATATTGGTTTTAAAAACTGACATCCACGGCACGTTTACGACGCAGAGTTATTAAGCTAGTCTGAGTTGACAATTTGAACGCTGGACGCTTAATGGCTGGGAACGATCTCAGATCAGATCGTTCCCAGCCATTAAGCGATCTAGTGCGATCGGGCAGATGAAAAGATTTTTATTCGTAAAAAATTACACGAATACGTAGATTCCTATGTCTGTAGGAGGCTGTGGTTGCTCCATAATATGAAGTTTTTTTTCTTGGCATTTAATAGCACAATTGGTACATCTACAAACTTATTTGAGCGCATTCTTTCTGACGAGTTACATCGTTGGTGCCTTGCGCTCATTTTTGATCGGTCTGGTCTCTATTTAAATAAGATAATACTCAAATTTACACAGCTATTAAAATCTCCGAATGCTAAATTATGGTCAGAGGAACACTTGGCAGAGTCTTGCCATACCAACCAGAATCAAATTTCAAAGTTATTGTTACATCTCAGGCAGCATGCGAATGCTCTGTGTAATATAGAAATCTTATGCTTCCGAATATATCAAAATTAAGGACCGCTATGCGAGGACTACTTTATTATTCACAGAATATTTTCGAATATTCGTGGAGTCCATTTTGTGCATTTTAAAGTTGTAGTGAAGGACCTACTATCTACTAAGCTAGTATACCAGTTTTTAAGGCACCTCAGAGTGTGTTTATACATATATTTAAAATAGAAAAATATTATAGAAAATACATATATTTAAGTAGAAAAATTTCAAAAATATTCATGTATTCATGTAAAGTAATTAAACATCTACAATTAATATTTCAGCGTTAAGTTTAAAATAAAGTAACATAAGAACATAGAGTAGAAAAACTAACCTTTCGGAGCATCGTCCAGGAAGTCATCCACGCCGTTCACCTGTTCATCTGAGTTCAGAGACATAAACAATCGGAAAGAAACTGCTTGTGACATGAGTAAATACCATTCTATTGGACACTGTGGTCCAAAAATATTGCACATTGTGTCCCGGCCAAGCCGGAGGAAAGTCGGAAGACTACATAGAAGGACGGACATGGGACGGACACAACATTCATACGTTTCCAAGCAAACACATCGTTCTTCCGAAAACAATGTTGGTGCTGATATTTTTCTTTTGTGGATTTAAGTTGGTTACTTCAAGCGGTAGCAATTTTCTTATTCGGATCAAGTGAAAAAAATAGTCGAAAAAGCTATTATACTTAAGAAATGTTTGCGACATTGTTTCACGTATTAAATAGAACTATTAAAGACAATTTTGTGAAAGATAATTTACTATGATGCAGAACTTCTTAAAACTGCATTTTGAAGCGATTAGGGAAACTAAAATTTACTTCTCATATGTACGCGACTATAGAAATATCCATATGTAAAAAACAAGCAGCTGAATAGCGCAAATATTTCACAGAAAGAGTGTGTGTGTGTGATTATGGCAAAGCCTCGAGGGCTATCTGCCTAAGGGGAGGGGTGCCTTCGTGAAGGACTTTCTAAGGGAAACTGGCTCGTATACACGTTACACATGCGGAAAACCACGAAAACGCCCATGCAGCCAGCCCGGTCGCGGGATTCGAACCTCGGACCGAACTACCAGTGTTCAGCGACTTTACCGCTCGGCCGCTGGTGGGCTTCACAGAAAGAGACCAGCATTGGTAAACTAGAGTAATCCCGTAAATAATAATATTTTGCCGTACATTATAAGCATAGTACATTTTCATAAGGCATTTTAGATTTCATGCTGATACCAAAAGCTTAAGTAAACTATATTCAAGCTATTAAATAATTGAACAGATATAATTAAATTGAATTTTTGGGAGAAGAATATACTATACTAGAATTTATTGAATTGTTTGAGTAGCATCGTTTTTAAAATTTTGTTATTATTTAAAAAGTTTATTAAACGTTTTCTTCAATTTCATGTCATAATAATGCTAATTAATTTACGGGAAATATATTCGCAGGCAGCATAGATTGTGGTGTCAACATTGCTAGTTTTAAATAGGCGAAGTCAGAGGAGATGCAACATAATGACGTCATACTACTTCCTGTTATCCCCCCTACGAGGCAAGGTTCTTTAATATACTAAGGTTAGGCCAGGAACGGAAAAAGCGTGCCATTGGTTGCTGGTAGTGACGTCACCCGGGAGACAAGACGCATCGGCCGACGCGTCTGCTACATGATTTTCGTAATGGAAGTAATGTAAACTAAAGCAAAATAATCATTTTAAATGTGGTAGATACACCGGAAATACCGGGTATATACTTTCCGATAAAGTATTTTGTTAAAGCAATGTTTATTTTATGCACAGAATTCGTACGAATGCTGAAAATAATTGTAAACATTAAATTCTTATCATAAAGGAAAGCATTAGGAAATGAAAAACGATATTTAAGTTAATTGAGGGAAATAAATATTGTAAAACAAGCTATTTTTCAATATTTTTCGTAGTATTGTTTGCACTAAAGAAATTTTGTTGAACAGAACACATGATGGCATAATTCCTAAGACCATGGTAAAAACATAATCAAAAAGTATTATTCTATTTAATTTCATTGCTCATGCATTTTTTTTTTAATACAAATGAACTTTGACATTCCATGAGAAATATATGATCGTGATTTTCAGTTTAATTTACATATCTCAAGCAAAAATATATATAAAAAGATTTGACATAACAAATTCATATTTAAATACCATAAAATTCTACAAATTTCTTAATATTCGTCATTTATACTTTTAAATAGTATACTTATCACATTATTTTTAAAGTCACTTCATACTGATTCACTTCAGATTTTAGCAGAAGTGCATATATTTTCAGTATAATCTAAAAGTACTCTTATAATCCCTTACACTCCCAAGATTTCTATATAACATTTATCCTGACCGTGATTATTTGCTATGGTAAATAATCTTCGATATTGGCATCCTATTCTTCCTTCTACCATACAATAAAAATGGACATTTTTTCTTACACATATACGCACAATAATAAACTTGCCCTACACCTTAGTGTGTATACGAGCCAGTTTCCCTGAGAAAGTCCTCCACGAAGGCATCACACCTATTACGCAGATAGCCCTAGTGTGCTTTGCCATAATTAAATACACCACCACATGTTAGTTTTAATTCAGCCTGTACACAAATTAAATATTTTTAATGACTAATGTATTTTTAACAGGTTGTTTCTTAAAATACTTTTGTTATACTCAAAATATGTGTTCAATATTGAATTATTTTTCTTTCTCTTATAATTAAAAACTAGTTATATGGAATCAAAATTAAAACATATGCAGCAGTTAAATAACACTGAACAGAATATCTTACTTACTCTTTCGCTATTTGTATTCCAGCATTATACACAGATTTGTTTTCCTTCAGGGTCAGGTATGTGTAAGTTCACTTAGTTATATCAATTAAATTACATCAGGCATATGCATCAGTTAAACAACATTGAAGGAAATATGTCGCTCGCTCATCGATGTTTGCATCATAGTGTGGCCGATAAATTGTTCTTTTTCTTCTGAAGCATGTATCAGTTTACTATGTCTCAATGCTTAACCCAGACATTGCTTCAATACATAGAATTACTTTTGGGATGTAAAGAAAGTAACCAAAGCATGTGAATTAACTTAGATAAGCAAATTTATCAACTAATCATTCAGGTAGTCACTATTGGTAAACACGACATTGAGATTAAATATCTCGCTATAAGTCTACTTCATAAAAGGAAAATTATGATAAAAAATTAAAATAGAAGTAAAATGAAAAATAAATGTAAAATTACATAAAAGTTATGTATGAAAACTACATAAATTCATTTAAAAAATAGTCAGTTATTTTATCTGGTTGTAAAGAAAGTTTTCCACCAAAAACGTTCTTCATAAAACTAGAAAAAAACAACAACATGAAGGTAGTATATATAGCACGGGTACAAATCACCAGACAAATCTATGATTTTCTGTCAACATTTTGGTAGTTTTTCAAAATCATCGACACATAAACTTGGTGGCCACGAGTTCAAAAGCAGATCAACTACATTTTGGACATCCTGCGCAGAATGGAAGATAGCACCAGCAAGATGTGGCTGCAGGTGTGATTAAGTAATCTCATGCAGTACCCAGTAATTGAACTTGTGCGTCAAATCTACGAGATACTCAGCGCAACTAATGGACATGGCACTAATGTCTAACTCTTCAGCTTTCACTCTCTCGAGACCATACGCAAGCCCTTGAGTGGTTACATATTGATATTCAACAAGTTCTCGTAGGTGGGCCTCATCAACATCAGTAGGTTGGCCAGAGTGATCTGCTTCTTCAGTATCATAAGCCTTGTTTTTGAACTTTAGGTACCAAACCTTCAGTGTCATTTGATATAACATTAGCACATAAAGTTGTACACATGATTTGGCGAAATTTTGTAGCTGACTTTTTGCAAAAGAACTGGAAGAAAATTATATAGTTCTAATCTGGTAGTGTGATAGTTCCATTTCACACACCTTGTACTTAATGGTATTTTTTTTATAAATTTAAGAGCACACCGTTCTAAAGCAAGTCTCTCTTTTTCAAATACATTTTGCAATACAGTGTTCTAAAGCACGTTTCTTTCTTTAAAATGCATAATCTTTAATCATATATACAAAATATGATTCGAATTTCAAATCTTTCTTTAATCCTATATACGGAATATGATTAAATATGCCAATGTGAAATTTCGCGAAGAGGATATTTGAAGTGGCAGGATACTTTCATTAAAACTCGAAAGCTTACTTTAATTGTTGGGAAAGACATTTCATGTCATAAGAAAACACACATCTTTTTAATGCATGAAAAATATTTTCTGGTTCTCTGCTCCTTGAATGTCATAATCCTTGTTTTTTTGCATTTTCGGTACTAAACCTTCACAGTTTCATATGACATTACATTAATACCTAAAGTTTTACACGCGATTTGGTGACATTCTGTAACTGACTTTTTGCAACACAAATGGAAGTAAATGATGATTCTATTCTGTAGTAGTTAAAATAGATGTAGTAGTTAAGTAAATGATTCTATTTTGGAGTAGTTAAGTAGATGATTCTAATCTGTAGTAGAAATAGTTTCATTTCAGACACCTTGTATTCGATAACATATTTGTTTTATACATTTCACAATACAAAACTCTCACAGTTTCATATGACATAACAGTAGTACCTAAAGTTGTACACATGATTTGGTGACATACTGTAGCTGACTTTTTGTAACACAACTATAGTAGAAATAGTTTCATTTCAGACACCTTGTACTCAATGATAAATGATATTTCTTTTACACACATTTCACAACACAGTGTTTTAAAGCAAGTTTTCTTTCAAACACCAAAATTGTTTGACAAAATATGATTAAATATGTCAATGTGACATGTTTGCGAAGAAGATTTTTGCAGTGGTAGGATACTTTCATTAAAACACGAAAGCTTGTTTTGATTGTTGGGAAAGACATTTCATGTCGTAAGAAGTCTCACATCTTTGTAATGCATAGAAAAATGTTTTTTTGGTACACTATTTTCTAGTACTATGCTTCTTGAGTGTAATAGTCCTTATTTTTGAATTTTCGGTACCAAACCTTCACAGTGTCATATGATATAACATTAGTACCTAAAGCTGTACATATGATTTGTTGACATTCTGTAGCTTACTTTTTGCTACATATCTGGAAGTAAGTGGTGGTTCTAATCCGGTAGTGTGATAGTTCTCTTTCTGATACCTTGTACACAATGATATTTTAATACAATTCACAACACACTGTTCTAAAGCAAATCTCTTTCTTTGCCAAAAATTGTTTGAGAAAATATTAGTAATCCTTGTTTTGAGTCCTTGTTTGAGCCATAGCCCTTGTTTTTGAACTTTCAATATCAAACATTCACAGTCTCATATGATGCAACATTA